AAACATCACAACACCTTCACTAAGTACAGCTACTACAACAGTGTCATCAACAAGCATGCACATATCACCAAGTACAACATCAGTGGTCCAAAGTTCCTCCACTTTTACAAGAACATCCACAGACACATCAACAACAATTTCTACTGGTACAACTTCACCAACTTTTTCAACCAGCATGCCTGCAACCCCAGTTAAGACATCAACAAGCCTTATTCCTTCCACAAGCACAATGATATCAACAACAACTTCCACAATGCATTCTGCCACACCTTCAGTTTCTTCAACAAACAGGTTTACACAAATTACAACACCAAGAGTCCAGAGTTCCCCCACTGGTAAAAGCATACCCACAACTCCATCAACAATTACAACACCTTCACCAGTGTTCTCAACCAGCATGACGTCACCACTTACTAAAATAACTTCTGTCCAAAATTCCACCAGTATGACAGGCATAACTGCAACTCCAACAACAAAATCATCTACAGCTCCATCAACAACGTCTCCAACATCCACAACATTGAAAACAAGCACCCTTACTCCTACCCCTGGATGTAATTGTCATTGGTCAGATTGGACCGACTTTGGGAGCCCAACATCAGCAGGCCCTGATGGTGGTGAAATAGTATCTATTGAAAAAATAACTGATACCTATCCTACCTTATGCTCAGCACTAATGGACGTACAGTGTCGTGCAAAACATTATCCTGGAGTTCCTCTTTCACAACTTGGACAGATTGTGAAATGCAGTACGAAACATGGTCTAATTTGCTTGAACAAACACCAAGGCCTTGCACAGCAATGCTACGACTATGAGATTAGAACATTCTGTTGTGATGAAAAATGTAGAAACATCACAACACCTTCACTAAGTACAGCTACTACAACAGTATCGTCAACAAGCATGCACATACCACCAAGTACAACATCAGTGGTCCAAAGTTCCTCCACTTTTACAAGAACATCCACAGACACATCAACAACAATTTCTACTGGTACAACTTCACCAACTTTTTCAACCAGCATGCCTGCAACCCCAGTTAAGACATCAACAAGCCTTATTCCTTCCACAAGCACAATGATATCAACAACAACTTCCACAATGCATTCTGCCACACCTTCAGTTTCTTCAACAAACAGGTTTACAGGTTTACACACACCAAGAGTCCAGAGTTCCCCCACTGGTAAAAGCATACCCACAACTCCATCAACAATTACAACACCTTAACACCTTCTCTCAACCAGCATGACGTCACCACTTACTAAAATAACTTCG